GGGGGGGTGGGGGGGTACCTTCACTATAGAATACTAGTCTTTAAATAACACTTGACCAAACACAATAAAGTCCTTCCCCTTCCTTGATGGGATTTGATACACTAGAAATCCAAATGGTATTTTCCTTTTGTTTCTTTGCCTTCTGTAGCGAAGCGATGACGATGACAGAGGCAGTGACAGGAAAGATGGAGCTCTTGAGGAGCAAATAGAAAGACTACAGGAAAAAGTAGAGTCTGCTCAGAGTGAACAAAAAAACCTCTTCCTCGTCATATTTCAGGTATCTTGGCTTGGCTTGTTTTCTTTGATACGTCAAAGAAAACAATACATTTCTTTAGTTTTTTGTTGGGGGGCGGTTTGAGTTGGAGTCTCACTCCATCACCCAGCCTGGAGTGCAGTGGCACGCTCAAGGCCACCCCAGCTCAGGCTATCCTTCTGCCTCACAAGCAGCTGGAACTACAGGTGTATGCTACCAGGCCCGGCTAATTTTTTGATTTATTGTAGACACCAGGTCTCACCAAGTTGCTCAGGCTGGTCACAAGCCCCTGGGCTTAGGCAATCCTCTCACCTTAGCCTCCCAAAGTACTGGGATTACAGACTTGAACCACTGAGCCCGGCCATTTCTTTAGTTTTAAGAAATGTTTTTAGTTATAAGAGGAATGCATTGCTCACTTATAGAAGAGTTTAAAAATCCAGAAATTCACAAAGGAATAAAATAAGTTCATCACTTGGAGGCACCCATGTACGCCTCAGGTCTGGGCTATTTACTGAGCATTCTTTGCCTGTGCATTTTTCCATGCCTTAAAAAAAAAGTGAACTGCTTTTGTTAAATATCTGTTGCATATTTAACTATTCCCGATTGTTGATCATTTAGGTAATTGTTTTCACTTCATGAACATTTTTTGTGCATGGGTTTCTGTTAACATTTCTGATAACTTCATTAGAATAGATGCCAAGAAATAATATTACTAGTATAAGTAGTTTAAGACATTAAAGGTCTTTCTTATTGCCAGGAAAGATGGACCAATTCACATTATTACCGGTATGCCTTTCTAGATTAACAATACTTAATGAATTATGAAAGTTAGGGACGTATGCCACAAAGACAGAATGGAACAAGCAATACTTTGAGGCCTCGTTGTCATTAATTTATTTCTGAAGTATAAGATTCTTACTCTAATACTTCAACTTCATTCCCCCTTTCCAGCGTTTTATCATGATCTTGACTGAGCACTTAGTACGATGTGAAACTGATGGGACCAGTGTATTAACTCCATGGTATAAGAACTGTATAGAGAGACTCCAGCAGATCTTCCTACAGGTTAGTGGGGAACTTTGATTAGATAATAAGCACCACTGTTCTCAGCCATGAAGATTTTTTTTTTTTTTTAATCTTATGAGACTTATTAGGAGCTTAGGTAGTACTATAGACCATTTAGTTCCATTTTTCTCATTTTCCTCTGTATTTTCTTAATGTTGGGCTTTTCAGGAGTCCATTATTCCTATGAGTGCTTTTTTTTTCCCCTACCTTTTTTCATTCCCCAGCATGGGTGGGCTGCTTAGGGACATGTCCTATAGAATTGTTTACATGCTTTTTCCTGACCTAAACATTCCCTTTTCTGTGTCCACAGCATCACCAGATAATCCAGCAGTACATGGTGACCTTGGAGAACCTTCTCTTCACTGCTGAATTAGATCCTCATATCCTGGCTGTGTTCCAGCAGTTTTGTGCCCTGCAGGCTTAAGGGTCATTTTTTTTCTCCCTCATGTCAAATTTTTTTAAAAATATCTTAAAATAATTTGTCTTATTTTTGATGGTTTGAATGCTTGCTTTCTTGTAGTATCCTTTTATTTCTTAAACAAAAGGGGAGGACAGTCAAAAATAATGGCATTACTTTTAATTGCCCCCCAAAAGCAATTATTTCCTATTGACAATGTGACGATGATCATGACGTACTATATATGTGACACATACAAGATTTCTGTGATCAAGTTGATATTTTTTCTCTTTGAGGAACAAAATAGCTGATCTGAGGTATGTGAAGCACTAGAGGTCAAGCTTACATAGTACATAGAACCAATGAGTTTATTACTAAGTAGCATAGCTTTTCACAGCTCGTGGATAACTTAACATGACTGAAATAAAACTAAAAGTATGTTTTTTAGACTTTGGTATTTCATGATTTATCATCTTAGTTTACTTAAAATTTGTGGTTTCTTACTGAAGGTATACTCCCTTTGAAATTTTATCTTCAAAATATTTTTTTTCAAGTAGTATCCTAAGATACTACTTGTTAGCATATAAAAGTATTACTATTTAGAGCAACAGTTCCCAAATTTTTCTAAACATAAATCACCTGGTAATCTTCAAAGTTGATTTAGAATTTAAATTACAATCCCTAAGGGTGGAACCTAGACATCAGTAGTTCCTAAAGTGCCCCAAATGATTTCCAGGTTTGGGTAACCATCATATCTTTGGGTTTTTGTTTGTTTGTTTGTTTGTTAATTGGAGTCTCTGTCACCCAGCTTGGAGTGCAGTGGCACACTCACGGCCACCCCAGTGTCAACCTGCTGGCCTCAGGCGATCCTTCTGCCTCAGTCTTCCAAGTAGCCGAAACTGTACAGGCGTGCACTATCATGCCTGGCTAATTTTTTTATTTTTTGTAGCGATGAGGTCTCGCCAAGTTGCCCAGGCTGTTCTTGAACCCATGGGCTCAGGCAATCCCCTCACCTTGGCCTCCCAAAGTGCTTGGGATTACAGGCTTGAGCCACCACACCCAGCCAACCATAATATCTTGAAGTATCTGGTCATTTCTGTAGTCTCTGAAGAGGTTTGTCCAAGGTCATGTAGTGAATTACATGCTAAAATGTAGCTAGATTTTCTAAAACTGTATTTGGAATTAGATGTGGGTTTAGATTTTATGGAACTTGGTCCAAATAACTGCTGTTTCCTTAGCCTCTTTCCTGTGTGGTGGTAATGCTTAAATAAGATGACAGCAGTTTGTAAAATAATATACAAGTATAAGGAATTATCTGACATTCAAAATTTCTAGGATTTTTAGACTTTTTATCATTAAACCTTGGGGAAAAATTTACCAGTAATCCTACAACTGCTGGTAGTGTTTTTGTACACTTGTATAATGTAGGTATCTTTTTATTTTGAATTAATTATATAAGTTTATGATGCATTAAGCATTCTCCATATTTTGATATATATCTTTTTGGTTTACCATGCATTTTAGTGGCTACAGAATATAGTCCACTCAATAGTTGGGAATTCCTTGGATTTTTAAATATTATTTAAAACAGTAAACTATTATTCCAAAAAATCATGTTTGTAGAGCAGGATGCTAGCAGGGAGAACTAAAACCTAGGTTTTTGGCTAAATATTCTGGTTTATACAATTCATCCTTCCCATTGCTTAAGCACAACACAGACTACATAAGTACAGTTGACCTTTGAAGAACTGCTCAGGTCCACTTAATACACAGGTTTACTTCCATATCTGCCACCCCTGAGACAGTAAGACCAACCTCTCTTCCTCAGCTTATTCTACATGAAGATGAGAATGAAGACCTTTGTGATGATCCATTTCCACTTAATATTTCCCTTCCTTTTGATTTTCTTAGCATTTTTCTCCAGCTTACTTCATTGTAAGAATACAGTTCATAATACATAAACATTCAATATATGTTAAATCAGTTGATTGTTACAGGTAAGGCTTCTAATCAGCAGCAGGCTATTAAGTTTTGGGGAAGTCAAAAGTTTACCACATAGATTCTCAGCTCTGTAGGGGCTCAACACTTCTTACTCTCAATGTTGTTCAAGGGTCAGCTGTAGTGTGAAATGACTTCTGTCCTCAAGAAGCCAAAGGATAACCTTTAAGGCATTGGTAATTTTGACTCTAAACTGCTTTGTAATCCTTTCACAATGTAATTTTGGCTAGTTATGCTTGATCCACATTCTAGGCAAATTTATAAGTTTTCATTTCCTTTCTCTTGATCGTCTCCTTCATGTATAATGGTTGCTTCTAACAACTGTTCATTGATGTGACGCTACTCTGTTCAAGTCTGACATTTAGGTATATGGAAAACCTGAAATAGGGAGTGAATTTTGAAAAATATAAAGGTGCAAGAGCATTAATAGTTGCTACTAATGAAGCTCATACAGACAAAAGAATGGCATGCAACTGTACATCATGCCTTGCAATAAAACAATATTCTGTTATATTGTTCTGATGCAATTTAACATGTTTCTGTCAAAGTAACATATGCTATTTTCCCAATCTATAGTTATACCTGAAAATGAAAGATAAGGAAAGATTTTGCCAACCTCAATAGAGGAAATTTGGCTGTCAAAGACATCTGGATACCAAGATTGTCTCTAACTGATGAGGGTAAAGAGTGAATGGAAGCATATGTCAACTAAATATATAACTGTAATGGCCTTGATAATATGTGCTCATTAACTAAGTGGCTTTACCTGCCAGGTGCAAGTAATATTAAGTACTTAAAACTCCTTTGAAATGATTATGCTATCTTTACAGATAAAAATGGGCCCATTGTGTAACTTGTCGAGGGTCTACAGCTAGTAAGTGGATTTGAACCTACATTCATCTGGCTCCAGAACTTTGTGTCCCCCACAATACAGTAATGAGCTTGTCAGTCAACAGTCTGAACCCCTAGTTATTTTGTTGTCCACAAGCCGGAAGCTTTTATACACCAGGGTAATCTTGCTGCCCATTCATAATTAATTTTTACTGAGCTGTAATATTTAGCATAACATATAAAAAGTCAAAGAGAAGCAACATTACACATTTTTGTGTTGAATATTTTTATGGAGAATACTTAGTAATTATAGTGTCAATACTATTTGGACTTGATTTGTTTTGACTTAATACCTTTCTCCAAGTGTAATCTCTACCCCTGTCTAGAGAAAAATGGAAATGTATAAACTTCCTATTTCTTCTATTTGTACGGTAGAGTAAAAAGTCATGTCAAAACAATTTGAAAATATCCAGTTTATCTTAACTTGAATTTGTTTTTCTCAAAAAATAATACATAGACCCTGTAGTCAAGCTACTTAGTAATTCTTTTGTTTTTTTGTGTTGGAGTCTCTCTCTGTCACCCAGACTGGAGTGCAGTGGCTGCTCCTGGCCACCGCACCCTCAACCTGCTGGGCTCCGGCGATCCTTCCGCCTCAAGCCTTCCAAGTAGCTGGAACTACAGGCATGCGCTACCACGCCCAGCTAATTTTTGATTTATTGTGGAGATGAGGTCTCACCAAGTTGCCCAGGCGGGTCTTGAACCCGTGGGCTCAGGCAATTCACTCACCTCAGCCTCCCAAAGCGTGGGATTACAGGCTGAGCCACTGAGCCCGGCTAGTAATTCTTTTGACAAGAAAACTTGACCAGCTAAATGTGATCCAAATGCCAGAAGTGATGTGAGGTTGTAGGTTGTCACTTTCTTCCCGTAGATGTATTAAATGAGCCTGAACAAGCAAGCTGTCTTCCTTCCTAGGACGAAATGAACATACCTATGAGACACTCAGCATGGTATGTGCCTGGAACCTAGTAAATAAATGCTCAGTAAATGTTGGAAGTACTTAAAATAAGCGTATTAGTACTTTCTTTGATCCACAGAGATTCAACCATGAAAATAGCTGTTTCCCATTTTAATAGGGTTAGACACTAATGTTAAGGCCTATAGTAGTAAGCCCCAAGAATACTGAAAACATGGTCATGCTCCTACAGCTTAATATTTATTGCTATTTGCCAGAAATAGCTCCAAAAAGCTGACCCAGAACCAGAGGCACAGCATACTCCTTTGTTTTAGGGTTAAGAATCCAGTTCAAAAAGCTTTAGCCTTTACTGAAAGTTATTCCTCCTATTCCAATCCAGGGTTTGCCTTGGTCTCTTGTTCCTCAGTTTGTACCTCTGATCTGCCACTTTTAAGTTTACTCTACTACTTGGCTCCCATCCCTGTTTTGAAAAAGCAATCACAGACCTGACATTGTGCACACAGGCCAGCTGGACTTTCACTGAAACTTACTCTAAATATGCATAATTATTAATGAGGCATTTTTTAATACATCTATGAAGACATAACATTTTTGTGAATTTTAAACAAAGCCAATCTAACTTTCCTTTATTTGCGTGAAGTTCTATAAAACAGTACAGTGAACTAAAAATCACATTTTTTCATACGTCAGCTCATGGCCACACACAGTGCAAGTCTTCCGGTACATGTCATCTTCTAGGTTTTCTTCTGGTCCATACTCATGTTGATGAGCAATCATTTCTCTTTTCCACACACTGCTTCTTACTGCTCGCCGCAATTCTAAGACAAAAAGAAAAGCTTTTCAGTAGTGCTGTTCAGCTGAATCAAAAATTCATCGGGGCTTTCACCCAAAAATAAAATTAAAGATAAACCAAAAATTAAAGTTTACCTTAATTTATAACAAACGTTGGTTATAAACTTGACACACTTCTTACCCTACCAGCTTGGCCTATGAAATCTTTCAAGTCATTGTTGGAGCAGTATAAAATGAAAGATTCAGAAATGGATGTGTGGGTCAGAGGTATAGCAAAAGAGAACCAAATTCAGAAGTGAGATGAGAAGCAATAGTGTACGTTCAGATACATTTGACTCTTTAGATAACAGAATGCTACAGGTAACAGAAAGGGGAGTCAGTTGAGATAACTAAGAAAAAGGAATACTTTTAAGTTCTATGTTTATAAGTCAGGACCTGCTTCCATTAATGACAAGTCAAGCTTTGCGTGCAAGAAAACTACCACTATGCTGATTGTTTTCATCTCAAAGTGGTCATGCAATTTACTTCAAGTCTGTTAAAGTTCTTTATCTTATAAAATGATAGCATTATTTTAGGAGAGGGGTTGTTAATAGTTTCTGCTAAGTACAACCTAAAAATAAGAATTATAAAATATTAAGAACTGCAAAGAACCATCGAGTTTTTATTTCACTTCATTTTATTTTGCAGTTTGGGAAACTGAGCACAGATAGCATGTGAACCCAGGTCATCATCTTGTTCCAATGTTTGGGGCTTTTTCTGCTACTTCATGTTAAAGTCATTTTACAAGGAAAATTATGTTGGATTCTTCGAAAACAACTCAGTAAGCCATATTTTAAAAGTTCACATTGCATAT